TTTTTAGAGAGAGATTTTTGCCATGAAATGCAGTTGACAAAGACTGTAATTTTGTTTTACTTGAGTTTTCTTTTTTCTTTACTTTGGGTGGGGGGGCGTAAAACTATTGAAAAACTCGGCCAAAAGAAAAGAGAACGCAGAACAACATCGAAGTTGAAATAGAGTGGAAATGCAAGGGCGGACTGGAGTGTGGGGAGTGGGAGTGGACAAAACTTATCCACTGAGAACTCAACCGAGAACAAACTGACAAAAAACTGACAAAGTGCAGTCGGGGAAAATAGTTTTGGGCAAGAGTTTTCCCCGCCTCTAGCTCTGTTCTGCTCTGCTCTCCGCCTTTCGCTGCCCCTGCGTCACACTGCTGCAACTTGTTCTTTATCTTGTTATTACTTTTACATTTCTTGTTCACTTTAATTTGATTTAATTTCCTTTTTCTTTTTCGCAATATTTTATTTTTCTTTTTATTTGTATTTTGGGTATGTGCGGAATTAGTGGAAAATTAAATTTGCAGGGAAACGGGTAAATTTAAACGGAAATGCAGTAGATACTCGAGAATCAGGTCGATGGTGGTTGGATGTTGCAACTGCAGCACACACACACATATCTGCATCTGTATCTGTGTCTGCATCTGTTTCTGTGTCTGTATAGTATCTGCAGCTATGGATTCATAATCTGTGTGACTGTGTGACACGTGAGTGGGTGAGTCCTTTGACAGTTTTGCGGATGATGCCACTGCTGGATACCATTATGCTGGCTGGCTGGCTGGCTGGCTACTGGGGAAAGCCAAGGAAATTGCCATGGGAAAACTGGGTGCGGGATGGCGAAGGAAATTGGACGGGTGGATATGTAACACTGGAAGCTGAATGCTGGCTGGATGCTACTGACATGTTGACAGCCATCAGGCATCAGCCATATGTGTGGCTGTGCAGCGGCAGCATGGCGGAGGGGGGACTGAAGGTATTAAACTCCTTGAAGGAATCCGGAAAAGGATGTCAACGAATCTTTGTTGAAACTTCTGTGGAACAAGTAGAGTTATCAAAGGGATACGGAATTACTTCCAAGGAACACTTGAATGTACATAAATTTGTGGGTATTTTTTTTTTTCTTAAATCTGGGGGGGGGTCCCAAGCCATTCTGCTTAAACAGAGAACCTCCAGCGAGCGCTCTGGGGGGAGTCTTTACACATGAAATTTTAAGCCTACAGCTGTCGCGGGGGGAGGGCTGAGAGCTTATCCCTGCATTATGCACAGAGTGTTATTTGTTGTTGTTGTTTTTGTTGTTCATTCAACGATTGCCCCATAAATATGCATTCATACACTCGCGCAGCATTTATTATTTATTATCCCACTAGAAATATATTACAAACACATGTTCGAGCTTGTGTCGCCTCCACTCGTGGTTTATTCATATTTAAAGCTTATCCATATGGCAAAAAAAAAAAAAAGCACTCCTTAACCCATCGGTGCCCCCGTCATCATCATCATCATCAGTCTGCGTAAATCCCCATAATACCCTGACATTAAATTAGCCACCTGTCCCCCCCGTTTTAGCCGTAGTTTTCCCTATGGCTTCCTCACACTCTCCCTCTCTCTTGCTCTGTTGTTGCTTCCCCTGTCACTCTCTGTCTTTGGCCTGTCACTTGCTCTCTCCATAGCCATCTCTGTCTCGCATTTCTCAGTAGGTGTTAAGCTGTGCTTTTGATAATGACGCACATTACATATGCAACACGAGCTTTTGCTTCCGGCTCTTGGCTCTATCTGCCACAGCCTTCCGTTTCCTTCCTCTGCCCAAAAGGCGGCAAATGTTTTTCTATGTTTCAGCCACCTACTACTCTGCCTCTGCCACTGCCACTGCCACTCTTGCTCCTCCACCTGCTATGTGCGTGTGTGTGTGTACCTTTGTATCTTTATTTAGCTCGGAATTTGTTGCACTCCCTAAGGACTCGATATCACATTTAAAACACCTGCCGCCATGGAACATTTGTTTATCCATGTTTCCTTCTTGCCTCCCTGAGAGGGGAGTGACTTATAGTAATGGAAATAGGGGGGGAGTGAATATGTGAGGGGCTAACTCTAGCTGGATTGCACTATGAATAAAACCTTTCCTGGCATGAGGCAGAAATTGAAGGAACTCTTTGTCTTTGAGAGCAGTACATGGAAGACAAGTCCCTTCTTTATCTACGAATTAGTTGAAAGGTGTCGTCTCCCTGGAAGTCGGAATACTACGAACCTGCGAGTAGTTCTTCCGCTGCTAACACTACAAATAAGCAGGGCAAGTCCTTCCCTCTCTGGTCATCATCATCATCATCTCTAAGCACAATTTCCCAGTGCCATATCTAACAGTAAGAGAGAGAGAGAGAGAGAGGGCGCTTTGTTTAACGGCCAAGAAAAGTGTGGAAAACTGAACTAATTTGATTTCCATGCAAATCACATTTCAAACAACTGAAAAACACAACTTGGCTCCATTAAAATGTTGACAAAATTAAACAAAATTGACAATTTCCGGTGTTTGGAGCAAGGGTACATATACTCACTCTACCTCTCCCTTTCGCTCTCTCTCTATATATATATATATATACATAGTATATTAAGTCACTCTAGAAAATGTTGAAGGTAGCTTCTGCCGCCTGCCGCCTGCTGCCTCTTTGTTTCGACTCCTGCCACTGTCTCCGTTTCACACTGTGCCCCACTTTCCCGACGGGTGACAGGGCGGCAGGTAGGTGAGGAGTTGTAGAAGAAGCAGAGGAGGTGGCAACCTTTTGGCACGGCACAGAATGCGCGCATATTTAAATTTTAATTAAAATTTTCTTGGGGGCATACCTCACCCTCCCTTTGGGTGTGTGGTGAATGGTAGGGTGGGATGCGGTGCGCGGTGCGGGCTGCGGCGTGTTGTGTTCCCATTTCGCATTCGCGCGCCTAAAAATATGCAAATAAAAAGTGCCTTTGGGCGAGTGTCAGAGTGAGAGAGCGAGAGAGAGAGAGGGAGTATCCTGTTCTGATTTCCGATAGCCTTCCCGTTGAGAGCTGTGTACAGAGACCCCCCCACCCCCACCACCTAGGCCCTAGGGGCATGGCATCCATGCCGTATAGATGCGGATGTCAGAGCTCCTATTTGTTGTGTGTATTTGTGTCTCTCTCTCTGAAAAGAGCAAAAATTAATTAACTCTGTAACTGAAACCCACCGCCCCCTCCCACACGATTTATCGTTAATAAACAACTCAATCATGAAATCATGAAAGCGAAATCGATGGAATTGTGTGTGAAAATGTGCAAATAACCGTTCAAGGGAAATGCAATAAAGTACAGTAGCTGCAGGAAAAAGAGAGAACCAATTTCAGAAGGTAAATCAACAATATTTTGTACGCAAAGAGTGAGAGGGGGGGAGCTGCTCCCTTTTTATCAGTAATAAGAGTATGTGAAAGGTCAGCGAAGTGTAAAAGGAAGAGCAAAGGACTCGCTTTCCCATCATTTCCAGTGTTGAATCATTGTTTCCAGTGTTGAACATGAACATGTCTAATCCATACATAAGATTATCTTTACATTCATTTATATTTATTTATTTTTTTTTTTTGCTGGTTGTCACAGCAGGAAAAACGTTGCAGCTGTGAGAGCCTTAAGATATTGTTTTCAGGGTAGAGGAGGGGCAGGAGAGGCATCTTTCTGGCATCTGTCATATGGGTTTAGCCATCGTCTGCTGTTCATTGAAGACGACTGCAAGTTGGACAGGCTGCTGCAACGAATACTCCGTATATATGAGGGGATGGGAAATTTGTATGCAACTTTTTTCCAGCTTCTTTCTCTTTCTTTTGTGCATTTTCTGACAATCTCCATCCGCCATCCCCTTGCAATTTTCCTAAACTGAACTGAAAAGGAAACAACTTCTTCTTTTTGCTGTACATTCTTCACTTGGTTTTCTCTTTTATTCGTATTCTGCTGCTTCTCTTTCATTCTGTTGCCTCTTTAAGTTGCACGAAAATCTGTTTTCGACTGTTGGCATTTTTTTTTTTGTTTTTGTATTTTTGGCAGGAAGTTTTGGGTGGGGTGAAGGAGGGGAGGGAAGAATGGTGTCTATGTCTGTGTCCTGGTTGTTGGTTGCAATCCACAAAAACCACCAAGCGACGAGGAAGGGGCGGGGGGACTGACTGACTGCTGGGAGTGGCTGCCGTTGAGGAAGAGCCTCGAGAGAAGCCTCTCAGTTCTAGCCACAATTTGCCATGTAAATATTAATGCCAGGCCCAGACAGGGCCCAAAGGGAGAGGAAGCAAGGGGGGGAGAGCAGCACCAGCCAACGTTTGTACTCAATTTTTCAAAGCTCGTTTGTGTCGTTAGTTGGTTGGTTGGTTGGGTTGCTTTCGGTCCCTATCCCTATACCTGTCCATGTCCATTTCCATGTCCTCTTCCTCTGGGTTCTGGCTATGCAAATAATGAATGCAAAATGCCAGAGGGAACCCAAAGAGTCGGACAAAGAGAGAGAGGGAGCAAGAGGGAGCAAGAGGGAGCAAGAGCGAGCTCCAACGGACAAGGAGAAGCCTTAACCCTAAGCTCATTGACAGAGTTGCTTTTGCTTTTGCAAGCAATTAGATTTTTGTGCAATTAATTTTCATCAATTTTGTTTTCCCTTCCTTGCAGGTGAATCCTCATTCGGATGAGATGCTGAGTGTTGAATGCAATTACCCTCGAAAATGGAAAACTCCATGCAAATCAGCAACTGTGAAAGTGAAAATGGTTGAGGTGGATCCTTAACTTAAACTTAAACTTAAACTGAACTCAATAGAGAGAAGAGTGCAATCAATCTATCACATATATCTATCGATAAATAATCGATAGGAAATGTAGAACTATTTAAAGATACTTATGTGAAATTGGAGCAATAAATTAGAAGAAAATTTGTATGTGGAAAGTGCTTCTAAAAAGTGAACAATTATATTAAAAAATATCAATATCAAAATTAGAATATAAACATTGAAATATTCTATTAGAAAAGTGTTATAGAAAAGTGTTATCAACCATGAAATATTATATAAATTCCATTATATAAACAAACTTCAATAAAAATCAAAGATATTGTGGGACTAACGAAATTAAATCCTGCTTAAATCAATGAAAGAGAGTTAATACAAAAACACTCATTAAATCAAGTGAACATTTGATTAAAACAAAGAAAGTGAGAAAAAAACTATAAGAATAAAATATATAAAATACAAGAAAATCTATTAAATAAGATCCCGTACGAAAAGGGATCCAAATGTCAAGTGTTTCCCATTAAAACGATGGATAAAAGGCTCAGCGATAGTCCCGGAGATTGTCGCGTAACCAGATCCAGCATGACGCCCACACTCCGCTTGGAGCACAGTCCCCGGCGGCAGCAACAGCAGCAGCAGCAGCAACCCCAAGAACAACAGCAAGTAGAGTGCAGTGGCAGTGGCAGTGGCAGTGGCACTGCAACAACTGCAGCATCAATAGCGAAATCAAAATCGAAATCCCCTACACCTCCCACCAAATCCCACGCGGGGGCAGGTGGTGCCCCTCAGCAGCAACAGCAGCAGCAGCAGCATCATCAATTCCGTGCCCCGCAGCAGCAGCAGGGACCGAAGAACAAGAACAAGGCCTGGAGCAAGCGGGGGAACAAGACGAGCGGCAAGCACAGTGCCAGCGCCTGTGTCGGCATTGTGCAGTCGCATCCAAATGGCAGCAGTGGGGCAAGCGCCGGCGTGGGTATGGCCGGCGGACAGCCTCCGGCGGTGGGAGGCGGCGGAGTGCTGCCCACTGTGGCGGCGGCCCACAAGGCCGATCTGGAGAATATACAGAATATCAAGAATCAAATATCCGGCAATGCGAACCACCATGGGGGCGGCGGTTCGGCCTCCCATCACGGCGGATCGCACCATGTCGGCGGCACAGGCGGCAGCGGGGGCGGTGGGGGACACCACCATCACCACAACACGCGACTGGCGCAGATTGCTGCCGGCACGGGCGTGGGCGTGGGCGGTGGCAATGGCATCTCAATTGGAGCGATGGACAAGCACGGACTGAAGTCCCAGCAGCAGCTCTACAAGAAAATGCTGGCGCACAGGTGAGTGGAAATCCGTTTACGTTTCGTTTCGTTTCGGCATCCGGAAGCCGGCGAAACGGAGAGCATCCGATGGGGGTGTACCAGTATGACACTTGCTTAAAGTTTTCAGTGATTTCGATTTAGAGATGGATTAATTTGGATTAAATCTACCGCTTGGCGGATAAAAGAGGTTCTGAAACGCAGCAAAGGCGTAAATACAGTCACCAAATAATTAATTGAGTGTCATACGGGTACACTGGAATTCCCTCAATGAATTGAATCCGAATTCCGTTCTATAACATTCCTTTCCATTCCTCCCAGGGGCCATCATCATCATGTGCTGTGCGCCGGAAACAATGCCAATCACACGTGCTGCCTGGTAACCGGATGCAACGGCACCAGCGGTGGAGGAGGTGGAGGAGGGGGTGGCGGCGTGGCTGGTGGCAACAGTGGAGTCAATGCCACGGGTGGCGTAAATTCCTGCAAGGATGCACAGAGCAACAAGGACACCAGCTCACTCAGCGGAAACAGCAACATCTCGGGCAGCGCAGCAGCCGCGGCGGCGGCAGCAGCGGCCAATGCGGTGCACTACTGCTGCGGCCGGTCCAAGTTCTTCCTGCCGGAGAAGCGGCTGCGCAAGGAGGTGATTGTGCCGCCCACCAAGTTCCTGCTGGGCGGCAACATCTCGGATCCCCTCAACCTCAACTCGCTGCAGCACGAGAACACCTCGAATGCCTCGAGCAGCAACAACACGCCGGCGACGACGCCGCGCCAGTCGCCGATTACGACGCCGCCCAAGGTGGAGGTCATCATACCGCCCAACATCCACGACCCGCTGCACCTGCTCGACCCCGTGGACTCGATGGAGTACGAGAAGCAGCTGACGTCGCCGATGAAGCGGGGCGGCATGCTGACGCGCGGCAGCCACCTCAAGTTGCAGCTGCAGCCGCAGGCGCATCACCGCCAGCACAGGCCGCGGAAGAATCGCAAGCGGCGACGCTTCGACTCGAACAACACCTCGCATGCGGGCGACGATGGGGGCGAGGGCAGCGAAACGCTTTCCGTTTCGTTGGACGATGCGGGCACCTCCTCCTCGGCGGCGTCCCCAGTGGCGCCACACAATGCCGCCGGCTCTGCATCGGCGTCCATTAGCCTGCTGCTGAGCGAAGCCGCCGCACCGGCATCGGCATCGGGCGGTACGATGGAAATGGGCCAGCAGCAGGCGCATGTGCGCTCTCCCCAGGCCCTCACCATGGCCACGGCCGAGATGCCGGCCCCCACGCTCACAGAGGCGGCTGTCCAGTCGGGCGCCGCACCGGCAACGGAACAAATGGAATCCAACATGAGTCTGCTCTCATCGCCAACAGCGCCGCCAGCTGCATCATCGTCGCCGCAGCAGCAGCAGCAACATCAACAGCAGCAGCAGCAACAACAACAGCAGCAGCATCAGCAGCAGCAGCAACATGTGTCCAGTGCAGCGTCAGAGGGGGCTGCGACTGCGGCTGCCCCCACAGAGCTGCTGCTGAGTGCATCCACTTCTGCGTCGACCTCGGCCGCAGCCCTGGCCGTGGCCTCGACCCTGGCCGAGAGGCGGGCCCTGGCCAGCCGGGACTTGCGCCTGGATTTGAGTAGCACGTGCTACGGCGTCGGCGGCACGGGCCTAAGCTTTGGCAGCAGCAGCGCGGCCAGCGTCGGCAGTGGTAGCGGCAGCGGTGGTGGCGGTGGCGGTGGCAGGAAGCGGAAAATCAGCGAAAGCAACAATTCGCAAAAGAGCAAGGTAAGCGGAGAATCCCCCTCGATGGGGCCCCATTTGAACGCATATTTAACGGGGGTTTTTTTTTGTCCATTTCTCATAGAAATTCCATCGCAACGATGGCATGGACAAGATCGTGAGTCCGGTGGTGCCACAGCCAGGGGCATGGAAGCGTCCGCCACGTCAGCTGCAGCCCAGCGGCGCACGGAAACCGAACACGCGACGCTCCACGTCTTTCAGCGAGACGGAACTGCTCAGCCCCATAGAGGAGCAGCCGCCCCGACAGTTGCCACTCATTGAAGGTGAGTCGCAGCCTCCCATCTGATTCATGTGATCATCCTTTATCTAATCGCGATTTGCGCTTGCTTACAGTGAACATCCCTCGCGACGATACGCCAGATCTGTCGGAGCAGGGCCTGGGCAGCCCTCTGAGCGCCACATCGGCGGCCACCTCGCATACGGCGGGGGAACAGGATTCCCTGCTGCCGGATACAGCCACCATTGCCAGCAGCGGCTGCGAAGTAGAGGCAGCAGCAGGAGCAGCAGCAGCGGCGGTGGGGCTGATGCAGCTGAAGGCAGAGGAGCCAACCCTTATGCTGGAGCCGGCCCTGATACCGCCCCTCAATAAGCTGCCCAAGTTCCGGGCGGATGGGGTGAAGTACCGCTACGGAAACTTTGACCGCTACGTGGACTTTCGGCAGCTGAACGAGTTCCGGGACGTGCGGCTGCAGGTCTTCCAGCGGCATGTGGAGCTCTTCCAGAACAAGGACATCCTGGACATTGGCTGCAACGTCGGCCACATGACCATTACGGTGGCCCGCCATCTGGCCCCGAAGACCATCCTGGGCATCGACATCGATCGGGAGCTGGTGGGCCGGGCCCGGCGCAATCTGTCCATCTTTGTGCGCATCCCCAAGGAGGAGAAGGTGAAGGTGGAGGTGAAGCAGGAGACAACGACGCAGCTGGTTAAGGACGAGCCGATGGACGAGGAGGCAGCTGGCGGGAGTCTGCACAAGAAAACGCGACGCGGCAAGAAGCGACGAAAGGCGCAGCAGGATCAGCAGCAGCTGCTGCATCCTCACCACCATCCTCACCATCATCATCATCATCACCATAATCATCATCACCATAATCATCATCACCATAATCATGAGAATCAGAATCAGGAGCAAAAATTAGATGCCCTGCTGGTGAAGCCGCACGAGTTTTTTCCCATCTCCTTTCCGCTGACGTATGGCGGCATGCCGCACCTGCCGCCGCTGGCAGGGAAATCCCCGAACCTCACGAACAAGAACCAGTTCCCGGCGAACGTCTTTTTCCGGCAAACCAACTACGTGCTGAAGGATGAGTCGATGATGGCCAACGATACGCAGCAATACGATCTCATACTGTGTCTCTCCGTGACCAAGTGGATGCACCTCAATTTCGGCGATGCCGGCCTCAAGCTGGCCTTCAAGCGGATGTTCAACCAGCTGCGGCCGGGCGGCAAGCTCATATTGGAGGCTCAGAACTGGGCCAGCTACAAGAAGAAGAAGAACCTGACGGTAAGAGTGAAAATCATCAAATAAAAGTGACGATTTGGAATCAATTAAATCCTTGAATCCAATTGCAGCCGGAGATCTACAACAACTACAAGCAAATCGAGTTCTTTCCAAATAAATTCCACGAGTATTTGCTCAGCTCCGAGGTGGGATTCAGTCACAGCTACACGCTGGGCGTGCCCCGGCACATGAACAAGGGCTTCTGTCGCCCCATTCAGGTGAGTGTTGCATGCCACATGCCCTCGAATTCGATTGCTAACCCGCATTTTCATCTTCATCTGTCCGTACAGCTGTACGCCAAAGGCGACTACACACCGAACCATGTCCGATGGAGCGATGCCTACTATCCGCAGACGCCGTACGAGGCATACCGTGGCATCTATGCCACCTTGCCCGCGCATCGCATGGGCGGCGGAGGCAGCAGTGCCGGTGGCAGTCACAGCGGGCATGCACCGCTGCTGCATATGAGCAGCTCGAGTCGGTCGCAGAACTACGACACGCCGCACTATGCGGGCAGCGCCTCGGGGTCGGCCAGCCTGCGGCAGACGCCGCGCTACCAGCCCACCTACAACCCCCTGGAGACGGACTCCTACCAGCCCAGCTACGACATGGAGTCGTATGGCGGCAATCACATGTACGTGTTCGCCTCGCCGCTCTACCAGACGGTCTGGTCGCCACCGGCCTCGCTGCGGAAGAGCTCCTCGCACACGCCCGTCTTTGGCAGCGTGCGGGAGGCGGAGCTGGACGGCGACAGCAGCATCGGGGGCGGCGGCAGCGGCGGTGGCAGCTACCACAGGCACGTGTATCCGCCCAACGATGACACCTGCTCGCCCAACGCCAACTCTGGCAATGCGTTCAACTCGATACGCGACGCGGACACGGATGACTCGAATCAGCTGCCCAGCGGCAGTCGGCCCCATGTGTATGCCACCAATTGCGGCGAGAGCTCCTCTTCGCCGCAGGTGAACCACCACGAGGCCACCGCAGAGTTTGTCGAGGATGGCCTCATGGACGATGAGCAGCAGAAGACGCTGGTCGCTGGCAGCACTCCCACTGCCTATCACAGTGATCTGTCGGATGCCTGAGCGGGCGAGCGTGTGGCCAGGGGCGGGCGAAAGAAGCAAAGAAAAGAAAAATGTGTCAAAAACAAAACAAAAAGAGAAAAACGGATAAAAAAGCAAAAGAAAAAAGCAAATTCAAAAACTGTTGAAAACAAACAAAAAAACAAAAATACGAGTATGTAACCGTAAACGAGACGCTTATGATTTTTTTTGTACGTACATATAAAATATATATGGTAGTAGCATATACATACATATATATATTTTTATATATTGTAATTTAAAGATATACTATATCGATATACCGATATACAAGTGGCATGTGTTTATAGGTGTATTTTGTAGATTAGCTAACGATTTTTGCTAGAATGCTTTATGGTCAAATCCTGATTTGATCCTTGTTGGCGGTGTGGTTCTTTCATGTAAAAATCCTAGTTTAAACGCAGACACACAGATACACACACACAAACACACCACACCAAGCTGTAGCTTTAAATTGTGTTATAAAAAAAATGTTTAAAGAATATCTGTATTATAGCAAAACGGAATAGATATAAAGAAAACTCCCATGTAAAATTCAACTATTTTTGATCAACATTTTTGGCAAAAGAGAAAAAGCGAATGTGAAAACAATAGAGAGTACATACGATATAATAAATTCTGTGGCAAAAGCAAACAAAATACAATACTTACAATATATGATATGATATATGATGATTATATTTAGTTGTTTAAAGCAAACAAGTGAGGATATGCTTAGGCCAGCAATTAAGAGATAGTTTTACGTTTAGGCGCAGGGTTACCGCTTAGCAACATGTTTAGCATTAAATCTCCTTCAGCAATAGTTGCGTTGCATAATTGAACAGCATATGTATGTGTATTGTATGTTCCATGTAGATATATTCCCCAAAATTGTGGTATCCTCCACCCTCTATTTCCCACCTTCCAGTGCGCGGTGATTGTGGGGCGAACATGTTTTTATCTATGCTGTGTTTTTAAAACATTTTTTGTAGGTTTTTTTTCTGAGAAAATGAACACATTTATAAAAATTATATAAACCAATTAAAAGATATACATACATAGATATATATTATAGAAATAAATTTGCAATTATATGAAGAACATTATTGAAAGGGGTTTTCTTTGTGGGTTATTCAACTTTTGCATCGATTTTTTAGATAAAGAAAAATCGCTAAGGGCCAATAGCTATTATGGATTGTCAAACATCAGTAAGTAAATGTGATTGGAAAAATTACATAGCTTTAGATTAGAATTAAAACGATCTACCTGTAAGGGTATGGATACTATCGCACGATCGCACTCCAAAGCTTGGCCTTTCCAGAAGCTGTTCTACTTCTTAGCATCATCGAAACAATTTGAATTCCAACGTCTCGTTCAGCGAAAACCAGTTTGAGCTTCGTATAACAGTGCTGCTCGATCAGCTGTAGGTTTGCTCTCTTTTCTCTCTCTCTCTCTCTCTGGCTTTCCAGTCAAAAGCTTATGTACTCATTCAATCCACTCATTCTGTGAGTCGCGAGAGAGAGAGAGTTTGAGCGTTTTCTTCGACTTGATTGAAGAGCGTAACTACGCGTCAGAAAGAGAACTGGTCTGCACTGGAGCAAAAGTGCACAAAGAAAAAAAATATTGCGCGAGGCACAGAAGATGATGAGGCTGCTGGCTTCAATTAAAAGAAAGTTTAATCAGTGCAATAAGTAAGAAAATAATTAAAGTGAATTGAAATCAAAGTGTGATAGTGCGGGCCGAAGAGACACCCACTGGTGTGCAAAACGAGCGTGCGTGCCAAAAATACTCTTTACCTTCGTGTCACACTCTCTCTTTTACGCTCGCGCTCGTTGGCTGGCTTCCAGTGAGAGATAGAGAGAGAGCGAGCGATCGGTCGATCGATCCGTGCCTATCTGCAATTTTTTGACGTTCGTCGCGGATTTTGCTCCATCAACATTTAGCAAGACGTTGTCGCTGTGTAGCTGTTTCTGCGCCGCGTCTCTGTGCTTCCCAACAAAAACATATACAAGTTTTCAAGTTGCTCGAGAAGGTCTCTCCGTCACCGTCCCCACTAAAGCAACAACAGCAGCAAAGTGTGGCAGATCGTTCGGGTGTCCGTGTGCGCGAGTGGCACTGATTAACAACATTTTAATATTATTTAAATGGATTTTCGAGCCTCAATTGAATTGCTCTTGCGACAGCAATTAGTAATGTGAATAAGCGTGGCATTCATCTGACCCACTGAGCGAGTGCACGGGTGTGTGTGTTTGTGTGTTTGTGTGTGTGTGTGTATGAATCACAATATACAACTGTACTCAAAGGAGCTCCACTGCTAACAGGAGAGAGAAGGTTCAACAACTGGTTCTTCATTTTACAACAGAAACCTTGTGTAAGTATCAATAAGTAGATTAAATATGTATACAATAAAGTGTTGCAAGTAGGTTGTGTAAGTGGAGTGCTGTTTATCGATAACAAAAAAAAGGGAAATATTTCAGTGGAATTATCGCACTAACATCTGTCTTTAGAGTTTATCTTTTATTGGAATTGACATCGGATAGGTATTACTTTAAGCCTTTTGCCAAGTTTTGTATGTTGAAAAAATATATTTTATTCCATCAAACTTTTCCACAGCAATGTGTGCTGTACTGAATGCCAAGATGCAATCGCTCAAAACCGATTTCGCCTAGAAATGCCACTTAAATTTACATAACAGACAGGTACAGAACAGAACGAACAGAACACAGCAGAGTCCAGCCGGAAGCCTGGGGCGTGTGCCTCATGCCCACAATATATCCAATGCTAGACGGCGTCTATATCAAGTCATTTATCTTATCTAACCCGAAGGCTGGGCCCCGAACCCCTGACTGTTGTTGTGTAGAATTCTGATTTCAGACACTGTTTTGTGTGAACTTTTTGAACTGTAAATGCTAATGTCAGACAATATGAGTATTAGTTGTCTTTTGTCTGGGCAGGTAAAACAACCTTCGGATCGGTCGAATAATGTCAGTGGAAGCTGCCAGGCAATGAAATGTGCTGATGGGTGGTTATTAAAGAGTGGGATATTCCACTATTAATTCCCCACTTATACATTATATGGGTGGGTGTGTCAATCAATTATATCGTTGACATCAGCCATTCCACGTGGATTAATCTAATCAGTAGCATAGCATAATTGTAATTGGCTTTGTTTGATATTTATATCTTATTGGTGGGTTCAATAATTAAGGCTGATTACAAAGCTCGTTGTAAAAGCTTTCAGTGATAAGATAGAGCGCTCAACATGTTGCGTATGGTGCCTGTCCCAATTGCGTTTCATCGGGAATGAGTCATGAGGGAAATCACTTCGCACTTGATCAGCGATTTCTGCACACTCCAAAAAGGTTTATGAACCCCCACAAAGCTCTCGGCAGAACCGAAAAGCTCTTTGCACATTCCGCCGAAAACTCGTTTCGGTTCGCGTCTTGTGACCTTGTAGACAGCACCACCCAAGCACCTCAAGCAGACCGACCCTGTTTGAGAAATATCCATTAGCTAATTTTCAAATTGCAAGAGACAACTATCGCCTTTCCAGCAAACTGTGGATGAAAGCTTTCCCAGCTGTTTTTGAACTTCGCAGCTGTTCGCCAGACACCAATTACTTACTCCGCGCTCTCTCTCCCTCTCTTTCTCTCTCTCACACTCTCTAAGCTTGCGGCAATTGCGCTCTCACGTTAACCGTTAACCGTTTCGAGCTTTCGGCCAGGTGTACGCAGTTTAGTTAATATTATTAAGTAAAGTGACGGCAACATTGTCGCAACGGTTTGCTCAAGCGCGCGCGTGCACCTCTTACAGATCGCTGATCGCCGTGGGGGGGAGAGTGTGTGGAGTGGAGTGTGGAGAGAGCTTTCGGCGGGGGGCTCGAGCGTATGTCAGTGCTACGGTTTTTACCTGTTATTGTGTGTGTGTGCGTGTGTGAGTGAGTGCGAGGTGTCTTCAGTTCTTGTTCTTGCTTTTTGTCGCAGCAGCGTGGCAGTAATTCTTTCTCTTTCTTTCTTTAATGCGACGTCGCGCTAAATACTGTTCTGCAATTTCCGTTAGTCGGCGGCGGCGGCGGCAAAATGTAAACAAAGAGTCAGGTTGGGAGGAGAGAGAGAGAGACAGATAGGAAGAGCAAGAGACTAATCATCCAAAAACGTGTTAATCCCATAAAATCGGAATATCTCTGTGAAGAAGTGCAGCCAGCGGGGCAGCATTGATGTGCATCTCAGTTGGGTAGGGGAAAATATCTGCCAAAATTCAATTGCAATTGCAATTGCAATTACAATTACAATTACTGCCATATTTTACGGCCTGCTTTGATCAGCTCCTCCGCCTCCTCCTCGTGCTTCCAGCAAAACTTTTGCCAAGAGGTGAAAAATATGAAAACAAAATCCATAGACACTTAGAGAGGTAGTATATATAAAAAAAAAAAAAAACATATCTGCGTGTGCCTGTGTGTATGTGTGTGTGTGTTGTGCAAAAGTTTTATGAGCTGGAAGACCCCAAAAACAAAAAATCAAAGCAAAAGATACATTACGTACATATAATATTTGTATGTACCCCCAAAGAAATTTCGCTGTACGGTTTTCGTTTTGGCGTTTTTTTCCACCCAAAGATAACAAAAAATATTGTGATAAAAATTCAATTAATTAATTTGTAATGGCGTCAGTCTCCCACAGAAGTCCATTTGTATGTGTATGACAAAAAGATAAGATAAAGGAACAAGAAAATTTCAAAATACATAAAACAAAGCAAAGTAGCGAAAAGGAGTACAAAACAAATATGGAATCAAAATTAACAAAAAAATCTTAAAACAAAAAATGATAATCAAAAAGTGAATTACAGAATAAATAAAAATAAAATAAAATGTGAATCCATAAACTAAACAAAAGCCGTGCAAACTTCATGAATAATTGATTGAATTCATTGATATTGGCATAGAAAATCGAGCCTTAATTGTTGGTCACTCCTTCTCCCCTATGGACCCATCCGTAATACCAGAACCACATCAATCTGTCAGTGGCTCCATTAATTAGTAAATACGAATGCAATATTAAACATTTCGTGTTTAATTAGCTGCCCCCATTGGCCATTGGCCATTAGCCGGGGCGCCTGAACCCAACCGAAACCGTTTACAGATGCAGACCGCAAATGCAAAATGAATTGCACACGACAGCAGAGCAGAGCAGAGCACAGGAATTAAGCCAAAAAACCGCATACCAAAAATAAAATTAAAAACAACAAAAAAAAACCAAGTCTAGATATAAATTACGCACCACCTGCGATGGCCAAGTCCACGGATCCCGCCGCTGCCGGCAACCATATGGGAGGCCACTACCACCACAACGAGTCGCTGCAGTTGCATCCGTCAACGGAGGCGGCGGTGGCGGCAACCTTGCAGCATTTGCAGGTGCGACGTCATCGCCGCAGCATCTCACAGCTGATGGCCAGCATGGGTAAAGATTTAGATACGATATAGTTGATACGATAGAGATGCTGAAGGTGTGACACAATTCTACTGTAGATTCTACTCTTTAGATAGATAGATAAGATAGATAGATATACAGATAGCAAAAACAAAGACTCAGCTAGTCTTAGATCACTCAAGTCATGGCTGAAGGTGTCTACGTTTGTATTTATAAGATTCTGCGTCATCCGAAGAGTGTGTTCTCAGCATGAGATAAGATTGAACCAGTTTGCCTTTCTAGACATACAGCTCTTATATAACTGGTTTTTGGTTTCTTCTTGATTTTGTGTGTGTTTGTGTTGTGAAAGTGAAACCAGAGGGAGACACTGGGGGACACTTGCTTAGCCCATTCTTTCTACCAACTAATAACAGAACTAACTGCCACCATTTATGCTTAATTTACCGCTGAAATTAAAAAAAAAAAACCATTTACGTGGAACCCTCCCTGCCCCCATCGAGTGCCATTTCCTTTTGGCTTATATAAGCCCACCGAACCTTCTGAAGTTGCGTGTTGGAGCCCGCTCCACACCGCACCGCACCGCACTGGCCTAACGGTGCCATTAGTAACTGATTCATAGCCTCACATTGAAAATTCATGGCACGCCAAAGGCGACCATACACAGCCATAACCATAAAGATATATATTTACAGCACTTGTACCTGTTTTACATTTACCCACAAAATAATGCAACAGGAAGTTTCGATTTCTTTGGCATTATGTGTAGGTCAGATGAAATAATCGTGCCACAGGGTTGAAAGACCTGCCCAAGTTGACGCCGACGCTTAAAGCCCCCCACTAAACAAAGGCACTCCAAAAGTTATAGCACTCGTATTGAACTTTAAAGGGACAGGCACCCCCCATATGATATTAAAAATAAAATGGTTTTTGTATGTGCATATGTGAGCATAGGAAATTTATAAATTATTCTTTGCGACTTATGTGTATATTTATAAATATATTTTTATATTTAGAAATGTGTGTGTTTTTTCGAAATTATTACATAGAAATAATCTCACGGTTTTAGAATTCTCTATTTTATTAGCGTGCCAAAATAAATATTAATAATAAATATTTCGTGTAAGGGATGTGAATTATTTTTTGTTAAAAGTTTTAAATTTATTTCCATGTCTTATCGCTTTTGATGCTCTCTGCCTTAAATCGTAATTTTATTATCGGAATTTTACAGAAATGTTTCCGTTTGCAGCCACATATAAATGGGCAATTACGAAAATTACAATTTATCCACGAGGTTTCCCATGGCTTATCACACAACCCACAAAGACCCCAAACCCCAAAAAAATTGTGCTGTTCCTTTGTTGTATAATTTTAATTTTTGGACTTGCTGCAAAAGTTCGTTTTATTTATTTTGTTTTTGTTGGTTTTGTTCTTATCGAAATTTGTCTGAAAGTCTGAAAGATTGTTTGCATTGCTCGAAAATGTGTTAATAAATTGGCTAAAGATGAAAGTGAAAAAAGTGTGAAGTCTTTAGCGATATTTTAGTACTGTTAAGTTATATAGACCACAGTTAAATTAGCTTGCATCAGATATGGGCCTATACTTGTCCACATGAATCTACACTTATTTATATCCACAATTCGATTCTTCAGTTGAAGTTCGTAGGCTTTTTATCGCCTAGTCGCCAAGAATTTCTCAACTCTCAGGAGAGTTCTTTTGTTTCCAATACTGAGCTGATAACTGAACGAACATTGGCTGGGTGATAAGCTAACGTGCCCGTGCCCACAATCAGCACTTTTTATGACACCTCAAAGAGTATTTATGGGCTTCCAAGAAAGTCTAGCGGGTGAGGGGAATGCTACGGGTATTCGCCGAAACAAGTCCGAGGTTTAGGGCCATTTTTCGTAGCAAAGACCTTTAAATAGATAATGATAATAATGTCTGGAAGGTAATGCCATAATGTCATATATCTTTGAAAGACGTGCACTTGAAATTCTATATTTCTATATTTAAACGAAACAAAAAGCACATATTGGTCTAAGGGTATCCCACTAGATACGAGTATGGATACATACAGAATGGGTGGGCTGGGGGGGGGGGTACGCTACACACCTGTTGTAAGTGCTATCTGATAATCAAAGTACTCGACTAAATACTGATTTTTGTTTAGTTTATTGCTATCGCTAATAGATAAAAGCACGCACTTCCTTTGTGACAAATTCCATAAATTCCGAACGATATGCATTTGATATATGGGTGGGTGGGAGGTCCCACCTACTGTGTAGGTATCCCACAATCTATTAGCTATTTCTGCAGTGTCAACCATGGGTTTTAGTGCTTAGCAATAAGAGTGGTACAGTGCTAACTAAGGAATGAAGAACTTGTAAAATTGTAGCTAACATTAAAGCATTTGTGGGTCTAGTGTTAACACTTCAATTTGTCTATTTAATTTTCTGTAAATGTCTCGGCTTATTGGCTATATTATGCCTGCAGCCATTGTAGATTTCCTAACCAGCGATAAGACATTTCTTTATCTTTATAGGCGCCTATTTTAGAGGCGTACTTAAAGGTTGATCATAGGGATCATCATGTGACAACCCTTATGGCAGACTATTCAGACTAGATATAGAGACAGTCCAAGGGAGTTATCAGCTGTGGAGCTACATGTTTGCATAGCCCGAAATAGACTCAAGGTTCGGGGGCAGGGTTCCTGTGTCAAGTTCAGACACTGAAACTTGTGTGCCACCTGCTGGTGCACGGCATTGAGCAGGCGGAGTGGGGGGTTTCGAATGGAGTTAACATGAATTATAATTGTGACAAGCTCACACGTGCTCCAGTCGCTCCAACATATTGAGAGGTTAACGAGGGGACAGACAGAAGCCAGAAGTCATGTTTAAACTCGAAAAAAAAAGAAAACTAAAAGACTGAGACTGACTTGAAAGGTGTAGAGTATTTCCCGAGTCAGTATCAGCATTAAAACTTGTTAGGGTATTACCTTAAGTAGCAAATAAAAAATCGTAATTGCGGAGTTGAGTCAGCGGCACTCGGGCACGGGGCACTCGGAAATGGCACTCCACTCTCTGAATGTGTCCAACCATCAATAGAACTTTAGTTGGAAAAACAAACTAAATTTTAACTAATTGAAAACCAACGTTGAATGTTGAGGGGCTGTCGATGGAGAGACAGAGAGAGAGAGAGAGAGAGAGCCGGAAAGCACTTTGGAGCTTGAAGCTGGTCGAGTAAATAAATATTGATAAGGCACTATACGGGTGGGGTGGGGGTGGGGGAAGGGCACTCAATTGGACTCAAGACTTTATTCTACAGCAGTTTTGTTCGATTCTCCTTTGCAGCCGAATATCCCGCGGATGATGTTTACCGGCCCACGAACTTTGCGGGCTACGTGAATCGGGGCTACGATGACATAGACAGTTCCTATTACTTTGCCCAGTTTGAGGCCATGACGGAGGAGCGCAATGGAGCTGGAGCGGCACTGCCGCCGTATACCAACGATTCGGATGCCTCCGCCGAGGAGAACCTCAACGAGAATGACGAGGATGAGGAGGAGGAGGAGGATAGGATCGCACCGATGATGGCACCATGGTGGAGCATCAGAATCGATGCCTGCCCGAGTTTCAGTTCTCGCTGGTCGACTCGGAGTACGACGAGACGCTGGCGTTTCCCGACTCCGTCACCATACTGTCGAATGTGGGGGACAAGCCGGTGCTGGTGCAGCGCAAGGAGACCACCGACGACGATGACGAGGAGTACGACGACGATGAGAACAACAGCGTGGTGATGCGCCAGGAGATACCCTTCACGAGCATTTACGGGCCCAGCGTCAAGTTCAATTCGTTTCAGCGGAAAGTCTTCATACCGGGCCGCGAGATACATGTGCGGATCGTGGACACGGAGCGGAGTGTGACCACCCATCTGCTGAATCCCAATCTGTGAGTTCACACACACACACACACATCTTTCCCATCTGTAATGTATCCATCTCTCTCTCCCTCTTGCAGTTACACCATTGAGCTCACCCACGGACCCTTCAAGTGGACCATCAAGCGGCGCTACAAACACTTCAATTCGCTGCACCAGCAACTGAGCTTCTTTCGCACCTCCCTGAACATACCCTTCCCCAGTCGCAGTCACAAGGAGAAGCGAACAACGCTGAAGGCCACCGCCAGCCAGATGGCCGATGAGTCCACGCTCAAGGATCTGCCCGCCCACACCAAGCAGGTGAAGCAGACGAGTACGCCGCAGAGCCACAATGGCAACAGCAGCAGCAGTAGGCATCAGAATGGCCCTGGCACCATTGTCAGTCCCAGTCACAATTCGATTCTGTCGGGCCTCAATCCGCGACGCATCCAAAACAAGCGCAAAAAGAAGAAAAAGAAGAAGAAGCTGCCGAGATTCCCCAATCGGCCGGAGAGTCTGGTCACGGTGGAGAATCTGGGCGTGCGGATCAAGCAGCTGGAGGACTATCTGTACAATCTGCTGAACATCAGTTTGTATCGATCGCATCACGAAACGGTGGGTGGAAACGGGCGACTCGAAAGGGGATTCCCAAAGGGATTACAATTACGAGTATTTCTTTTGCTTTTTGTTGCAGCTGAACTTTGTGGAGGTCTCCAATGTGTCGTTTGTGCCCGGAATGGGCATCAAGGGCAAGGAGGGCGTAATACTCAAGCGTACGGGCTCGACGCGACCCGGACAGGCGGGCTGCAACTTTTTCGGCTGCTTCCAGAAGAACTGCTGCGTGAGGTGCAACTACTTCTGCTCGGATGTGGTGTGTGGCACGTGGCGCAATCGCTGGTTCTTCGTGAAGGAGACCTGCTTTGGCTACATTCGACCCACCGATGGCAGCATCCGTGCGGTGATCCTGTTCGATCAGGGATTCGATGTGTCGACGGGCATCTACCAGACGGGCATGCGCAAGGGACTGCAGATACTGACCAACAATCGGCACATTGTGCTCAAGTGCTGGACACGGCGCAAGTGCAAGGAATGGATGCAGTATCTCAAGCACACCTCCAACTCCTATGCCCGCGACTTTACGCTGCCCAATCCGCACATGTCGTACGCCCCCATGCGTGCCAACACGCAGGCCTCGTGGTATGTGGACGGTGCCCAGTACATGTCCGCCGTAGCCGATGGCCTCGAAGCGGCCACCGAAGAGATCTACATAGCCGATTGGTGGCTCAGTCCCGAGATCTACATGAAGCGGCCCGCTCTCGATGGCGATTACTGGCGCCTGGACAAGATACTCCTGCGCAAGGCCGAGCAGGGAGTGCGCGTGTTTGTGCTGCTCTACAAGGAGGTGGAAATGGCCCTGGGCATCAATAGCTACTACAGCAAGTCGACGCTGGCCAAGCACGACAACATCAAGGTGCAGTATATATGATGAAGAATATATCCAACAGAGATGGGGCCAGAACTGATGCTAGATTTTTTGATTTTGTAGGTCATGCGGCATCCGGATCATGCGAGGGGTGGCATACTACTCTGGGCGCATCACGAGAAGATTGTGGTGATTGATCAGACGTACGCCTTCATCGGGGGCATCGATCTGTGCTATGGCCGGTGGGACGATCACCATCATCGGCTCACAGATCTGGGCAGCATTTCCACGGCCTCTGTGTCGGGCAGCACACGTCGCACGCCCAGCGGCTACTTCAACAAGGACGATGTGGACTCGGCATTTGGTTCGCGAAAGTCCTCGCGGAATGCCCACTACGAGACCCCGCCCAAGGCGGATGGGGCTGCCTCGCCAGAGTCGCTGGAGGAGCCGCTGCCACCCGGCAACAGCATGGAGTTGAAGGTACTCAAGCCGGGCGATCGACTGCTGATACCCGCCATGCTGTCGCCAGCCGCTAGCGAGGATCCCGACGAGAATATAGCCCTGGAGGGAATGAAGCTGAACACGCCAGAGATGGAGCGAAAGAACATGCTCGACCGCCTCAAGAACAACGCCATGAAGGGGGCCCGCATGGGCAAGGATTTTATGCACCGCCTGACCGCCAATGAGACGACAATGGACGGCAAAGAGCACGAACAGGAGCTGCCGGAGGGTGGAGGTGTCTACAGCATAGAGACGGTGGATGGCAGCCTGGATCCCGAAGTGACTATGGCTTCGTGCTCTGCCCCAGCAAATGCCACAGCCACAGCCACACTTGCAGCCACTCTTGCTGCCACAGCCACAGCTAATGGCAACTCCACGCAAATACTCAGTGAATTCTATGGCCAGGCAAAGTACTGGTTCGGCAAGGACTACTCCAACTTCATACTCAAGGACTGGATGAACCTGAACTCGCCGTTTGTGGACATTATCGATCGCACGACCACACCGCGTATGCCCTGGCACGATGTCGGCCTCTGTGTGGTGGGTGCGTCGGCGCGCGATGTGGCCCGCCATTTCATACAGCGCTGGAATGCCATGAAGCTGGAGAAGCTGCGCGACAATACACGCTTCCCCTACCTGATGCCCAAGAGCTATCACCAGATCCGGCTGAATTCGCAGCTGCAGCAGCTGCAACAGCGACGACAGCAGCGTGTCACGTGCCAGCTGCTGCGCAGCGTCTCCGCCTGGAGTTGTGGCTTCATCGAGGCGGATCTGGTGGAGCAGAGCATACACGATGCGTACATCCAGACGATCACCAAGGCCCAGCACTATGTGTACATTGAGAATCAGTTCTTCATCACCATGCAGCTGGGCATGGGCGTGCCGGGGGCATACAACAATGTGAGGAATCAGATTGGGGAGACACTCTTCAAGCGCATTGTGCGGGCTCATAAGTAAGCAGCAGAGTTCGTTCTACAGATCCAACAGATCTTCAATGCTAAAGCTATCTATCGTTTGCCTTCTCTCCTTTTTTTTTTTAGGGAACGGAAACCCTTCCGTGTGTATGTGATAATGCCACTGCTGCCTGGATTCGAGGGCGATGTGGGTGGCAGCACGGGCATCGCTGTACGAGCCATTACCCATTGGAACTATGCCTCCATTTCCAGGTGATTATTGGTATTATTTTGTAGCCCCAATGGATCTCTTTATAAATCTCTGTTTGGTTTTAGGGGGCGCACTGCTATATTGACACGTCTTCAGGAGGCTGGCATTTCGGAGCCCCACAACTACATCTCATTCCACAGTCTACGCAATCATTCCTTCCTCAACAGCAGCCCCATCACCGAACTCATTTATGTGCATTCCAAGCTGCTGATTGCCGACGATCGTGTGGTCATCTGTGGCTCGGCGAATATCAATGATCGCTCGATGATCGGCAAGCGCGACTCGGAGATTGCGGCCATCATTATGGACGAGGAGTTCGAGGATGGTCGCATGAATGGCAAAAAGTATCCGAGTGGCATCTTTGCCGGTCGTCTGCGAAAGTATCTCTTCAAAGAGCATTTAGGTGGGTTATGCTAGGACTCGCCAGAAACTTCTTCTAACTGCTGTCTTTCCCTTTGCAGGCCTCCTGGAGGGCGAGTGCGAGGGCTCTGGGCGCTCTGATCTGGACATCAGCGATCCCATTTGCGACAAGTTCTGGCATGGCACCTGGCGACAGATCTCCACGAGGAATACCGAAATCTACGACGAGGTGTTCAAGTGCATTCCCACGGACTTTGTGAAGACATTCGCCAGTCTGCGAAAGTACCAGGAGGAGCCGCCGCTCTCCAAGACCGATCCAGAGATGGCCGCCAATCGGGCCACAGAAATTCAGGTAAAACACACACCGATCCCACACACTTCTTAATCGATCGTAACTAATTTGTGTCTGCGGTCCGTAGGGCTTTCTGGTCAACCTGCCATTGGAGTTCCTCAACAAGGAGGTGCTCACACCGCCGGGCGCCAGCAAGGAGGGCGTCCTACCTACCTCTGTTTGGACATAGTCCCTGCCAAAAGTCTTCAAGACGCCACTAGATCGTAGTTCCCGTAGTTTTTTGTTTAGCCTTTTAACCTCCCCACCAAATGCGTTGTTGCCAAGTCAAAAACTGTTGTATATTGTACATATGTACGCTCCTATGATAGATCTACGATACTACCAATAGCTGATGTACGTTTGCCCTAGGATAGATACCTCTAACTAATTTATTATTTTACGCTGTTCGTCCACGTACGTCCCCTGGTACTCTAGAGATCCTATTTGTTACTACCTACCTACCTACCCTTTTTTTATAATGTTTAAACAGTATTTTAGACAATTTAAAGCGCTATTGTTTTCATTAAAGTGATATGGATTGAAAGTCAATCGAGTAGTTTTAAATCGATTATTGCAGATACGTCGTTCTTATTCCAGCTACATTTATGGAGGAGTTAGGGATACAAATTTTGGTTGCTCCAGCTCTTGTAGTCTCTGAGCTATAACTGTTTTTCTTCCATTACTCCCCTATGATCGTGCCATATATATTCTACATGTTGTGCATACATTTGACATTGTACATTTTACATTTTACACGACATTTCATTTGCTTGCTTACAAAAGCTGATTGGAATGACTGACCTCGCGCCAAGATTAAATCTCCAAGAAATGTTTGATTAAATTGTGATGAAAACTTGTTTGCTTAATTAAAATCTTGGATTAAATAAAATCTTTAGTTAATAAAAATACTTTAGCTCCACAATAACAAAGTAATGCTACTACATTAAAAATATAAACGTGCTTGCATGCTCTTCATATGTAATGCTCTTTCCACTCACACTCTCTTACCAATGCTCTCTCGTTCCGCATTTGCATTTGGTTTGCAATGCAATTTGCTTCAGATTATTTCGTCCTCTCTCTCGCGTCGCTTGGTTCATTCGTGTGCGCGTCTTAAAAGTGCGGAAAATTGTGCAAAAACATCGCGAATAGGTGAAAAGTGCAATGGAAAAATTAATCAAATAAGTGTTTAGTAAATACAATAATATTTTTAGTGCCAGTGTTTGTGTAATGCCACAAAATAGTGAAAAATAGTTGTACGTGGTGTTTTTACCGCTAATTTGTGTTCCTGTTCGCGCGTTTTCTCTACGCTTTCAGATTAAGGTGCTTATTACTTGAGGTAGAAGATTTCATTGATTTAAATGTTTGCTAATCTTAAATTGAATACAATGATGTACCGCTATTACTGTTGAAATGTTGAAAAGTGCCAATAAGAACCAAAAATTATATTGCAAAAACACAAACAAGTTCTGATCCCACACATGCAAACGCACACAGGCATTCATGGCATTAAAATGCGCGCTCTTCTCTTTGGATCTCTCATTTTATGCGTTCATTCTCTTTCCGTTGCATCCAAAGTCAATACACACACACACACGTTCACAGAGAGAGAGAGGGAGAGCAAGACGCACACTTGTCTGTAACGTAATAAAAGCACGTGTTGTCTTTGATTTTTGTGTTTCTTCTTTGTTGCTCTTCCTCATGACGAGTTTTTTGTTTTGTTCATGACGTGATTTAAGTGGGAGAGATGGAGAGGGAGATGGAGAGCAAGCAGCACAAACAAAGTCAAATTTTGTACTCTTTGTTTTTGAAAAACTGACCCAGAAAATCGGGACGTTGAAAAACGAAACAAGAGCATTATTTTTAATGATTTGTTTGAGTGAATTTGTTTATTTTAGCAACAAAAAGTGCGAAATATTTTTCAACATTATTTTGTTTTGCTTTGCTTTTCTCGCCGCCCGTTATCTCTCTCACACTGTTTGTCATTATTTCATTTCTTGTCTGATAACACTTAATGTACGTAAACACACGAACATACATAACATAATGTCATGTGTATGTATTTATATATATTTTTCTCTCTCCTTATTTTGTTTTCTTTCTTCTCTTGTGTTATTATTATTACTTGATTTTGGCTTTGCATTGGCTTCTCTCGGTCACCACTTGGATACGCATAATTAGCGGTTTTTAGCGGGAAAAGGCCAACAATATTTGTTCCTATTAGATGTACACATAGTCAGCTATATTTTTTCGGGGAAAAAAGCCGAATTGTCATCACTATTTCAGTGTTTACTTTTCGTTTTTCGGTGTGGGCCGCCGCGTGGCTCTTGGTTTTGTTTCGACGTCCGTCCGTCTGTCCGTCTCGCTGCCTGAACTGCAATCAAAAGCAAAGCGTGGGCTTCATAACAATTAACTAAATTAGCTCTAGTAGCTCCAGACATAATGGGTTTGGTTTGGTGTGATTGTCATTGGAGGAGGAGGCTCGAAATATTCATATTTCCGCCCCCTCCGAATGCCCACTGTAGTTCCGATATAATCCCCCCTCACCCTTCCCATGGCATGTTTCGGTTGACTAAACGTTATGTACTCTCCCCTCTCCTACCAGGGCAACCGGTTTCTGATCTTTACTGAACCGTTTTACTATTTGTACCTTTTTATTTTTCGAACTATTCTTTTCGCTCTGCTCTTCCATTAGTTCCCACACATATCAACAGGTAGTGCTGTTGCACAGTGGGTGCAGCGGGTGTGGTGCCGTGCCGTGTCGTGTCGTGTGAGTTGTGTGCGTGAACTTACCACCTACTCGCGGACACATGGACACAGGGACACCGACAGCCACCGCCACATCGGGAGTGCAGTTCAAAAACTACCAAATGTTGAACTTCCCCCAGAAGTTCACACACATATGTATATGTATTAGCACACACACACACGCACACTTACACACACCCATACTCCTCACACTGCAAGAGCTCCACACGCGATATGTCTGTGGCGCAACAACCGGCTGTGTGCCCCACAGTTTGGTTTGGTGTGGGGGCAGGGAAGGGGCAGAGCAAACCTGCTGCCGCTGCACAGAAATCAAAAGTGAACATCGCGTCGCTTGCACATTGCCTTCCCCCACAGCCCTCCCCACTCTCCGACCCTCTAGCCTGGTGCTGGTGCTGGTGGGGCGCCAAACGAAGAGTCAAAAAGCAACAGAAAGAGCACGAAACGCAGTTCGTTGCCTTCGTTTGGTCGTTCGCATGCCGCTCGTTCTTTGGTTTCGTTTCTTGTGGTTCGTATCTTGATTTCTGCCCGGTTCTAGTTGGCTAAAGCCGTTCGTGTGGGGCTCGTGTTGGGGCTCGTTGCAGCTCGGTCTGGCTCTCGGTTGGGGCTCGACTGGCGTTCGGCTGCGGCTCGGCTGGGGTCGTCTCCCACTCCAGTTAGTCGGCAGCAGGCAGAGCATGAGGCAGGGCACCGCGCAGCTTTTTTTCCCGGTTGTTGCCACAGATCGCAGTTTTTTCGCATGCGCTTCCCCTTTTGGCTTTTGTTTTGTTTGGGATTCGATTCGATTCTGTGTTGCATGACAATTTGTGGTAATTAAAAGGAGACGCAAAGGAGCTCTGGCAAAAGGAGCAGAGAATTATTAATAGAGCTTACGGTCAAAAGCTGCTCTCCATCTCTCTCTCTGTCTCTCTCTCTCGCTCGCAAGTGATAAGAAAACCCAACAAGTTTTGTGCGTGTCCAAGTGTCCATGTGTATGTGTCAATATGCGCGAGGCGAGTGGTGTGTGGAATGCATTTGATTAGATTTGTTTGTTTGTTAAACAAATGCCCCCGCCACCCCACTCCCTACTACTCACCATCGATCTCCTGCAGCCCGTCCCGTCCGTCGCCCATGTGCATAATTTACTAAACAAAAGCCAAAGCAAAAGCTTAACACAATCATTTTCTGCGAGAACCGGTTGATTAAATACCCGTGCACATACCCGTTTCGGCATCGGCATCGGCATCGTTTGTCGTTTTCCTTCTTTCGGTACGGTTCGGTTCGGTCGGTGTGTTCTGTTCTTCGGTGTTTCTTCGGTTCTTTGGGGCGTTTCATATATATCTTTTGTGCCACTCTTGCAGAATTGTACTGCGCGTGTGCACCGGAAACAAAACGACAGAACGTCGTGGTACGGTCTCTGATCTGGTCTGCCTGCCATTCACACACATCGAAACCCATAAAGTCCAATGATAAGAAACCCCAAAAAATCCAAAATTAAATCTTGCAACGTTTCCAAATTTCATAGCGGAATGGAATGCTGATTGTGTGAAATATCAATCGGGCCTGATTGACAAACCAAACGAATGTGTGTCATATCAAAATCAAAGTGCAGCAGCAGCAGCAGAGAATTCACCAAAAATATGAGAATTTTATGAGAATTTCTGTTGAATTTGTTGAAAATAAATACAAATATATTTTTGTTGCTGGTAATCCGAGAGTCCCCAAGTGCCATCTGTAATTGAGTTTATCAGAATGATGCCAGAAAAGCAGTGGCAGGAATACTGCTGACAAACAGATAAAGATAAAGCTGTTTTATCGAACTCTCTCTCTCTTTTGGTTTAGTGATTTAATGTGAGTCATACGGCTAAAAAACAATTCAAAACAAACATCAATTCGGTTTAAGTGCAAATCAATCAACGAAAACATCAGTTAAGAAACAAAGTAACAAAAAAAGAATGTGGTCTAAACACTTGAAAGGCCAAAAAGGCCCCCACTAAAATGGCAACTGTTGAAAGCAATTAAAAGTACGGTTACTGGCAGCAGCAGCAGCAGCAACAACAACAAAACCTGAAATAGTGGAAATAGCAAATAAAAAAAATAAAACACTCAACGACAGAAATACAAAAAGGAAAAACGAAAAACGAAAGAAAATGTCAGCCCCACAGCCAAAGGATACGGCATTAAAGACTAAAGATACAGCAGTTGCAACACCAGCAGCAGCAGCTACAGGTCTGGCTGCATTGCCGCCTCCGCCAAGTGCCACTGCCACTGCCACAAAACCAACAACGGCAACAACATTGACAGGGCGGAAAACTTTAACCTCCAGTCGGGCATTGTCATTGTTTGATCAGCTGAAAAACGGCGTCAATTTAAACAGTTTAACAATTGGCGCCACAGCCACTGCCACAGCAACAGAGCAGGCGGCAACATCCACTGCCACAGCATCCACAGCAACATCCACATCCACACCCACAACCACTGCCCTGGCACCGCCTCCAGTGCCAGTGCCAGTGCCCTTGCCACACTCGAATATCGAATTGAAGCCGCCGGCCAAGCCGCCCCGCAACACATTCAGCACGCCCAGCAGCATTGGCATTGTGCAGGGTACCAAAAGGGGGGCCAACGCTGATGGAACGGGCGCTGCAGCCACACAGTCGTCTGCATTGGATATAAACGCATTGCGATCTCAGCTCTATCAGGGCGCCGCAGGAAGAGCAGCACCACCGGGAGGAACCACACCAGCGGGAGCCACAGGCGCAGCTGGCACCGCAGCAGGAGATCGGGGGGGAAGAGGCACGAAGAAGCGTTGCCTGGATCGATACGATTCGTCAGAGTCATCCGACAGGTGAGTGAGTGAGTGACTGATGGAGAGGTGTGTCGCAGGGTAATGCGGAAATGGTGTAAAACGTATCTGTCAGATACATGGAGCGAGGAGGGGGGGGATGCAATAAATCAGTGATGCATTTGTCCCAATCAGCAAGCGGCAATCGGGAATCAGCATGTTTAAGATGTCCATAAAGATTCATGATCCCCTCCCTCCCTCCGCCTTGGCCCGTGCCAATTGTATCTCGTAGATATATTGGCCTGGCTGACTATAAACTATAAACGGCTATATGCAAAAGTGTATCTGCGGGATGTGCAGCCTCTGCCAAGACTGCGCTAAATGCGGATACACCAGAAATAAGTATCTGCGAGTGCCAAAAGTGGCAATGCAAATGCAAGGCCTCTGCAGAAGTCAGCAGTCAGTATCCACGCCAAAAATAGAGATACAGTCGTCTACTACACTGAAGACCAATCAAATCTCCAACGAGCAGATTCATTCGAACACTAATAACCGATAACCGATTTGTTCTGAATTTATTTGGCAGTTAAACGAGCGTGATTCGATTATCGCATCCGTGAGATACTTGAAATTTGTAAACAATCGCAGTGGCAAGCGGCACGCGCACCCCCAAATGGCCCTCGTCATCAGATTGTGTATTTATGGCTTACAGAGCTACACAGATACATTTGTATCTACTGGAATGGGCAGCCGCCACACAAAAGCTGCACATCTTGTAGCCGCAATGCCAACTAATTTCCGCTCATTAAAAATGCGCAACGCAGCAGCAGCCAGCAACAGCCGCAGCCGCAGCCGCAGCTGAAACAAAGCAGAGCTGGAGGCGGGGGCGGCGGCGATTGCACACATTTGTATCTGAAAGATACGCAGAACATGCGTTCATTTATCAGCCAGCCGGGGGGGGGCAGTAGCTGATGATTTTCAATTTATGGCGTGTGGGCGTGAGAGGCCACAGCGCGGCTTCCTGGCTGCATTCAACACAGATACATAGATATAGATGCCACACTATTCCAGATGCATCTTATGGAAATTCAACTTCTAATATTCACTTTTTCCACCACTCTGAGTCGAATCTTTTGGGTTGCCTTTTTTGCAATTCAATTAATTTCAGTTGGTGGCATGCCACAGATAAGACGAAGAGTTCTCCTAGCCAAACGCCTATCGACTGGCATCTACATATCTGCCGAATGCTGCTGATATCTCGGCTATCTGTATCTGTCAGTAAGCTTGACGCGCCGCGAAATGTTTTGTCAATTGGTGCTGCCCCCCCCTCGCACCCTTCAGCCCCACTGAGTGGCCCCACCCGTCTGCCTCTCTGCTTATCACGTATCTGCGGCCGAAGTCGCGTTCTCTCTCGCTCTCTCTCTCTGACGTTGCGACTCGTCTCGCAGTCGTCGGAAATAATTTCAACTTTTTGGTCATTGAACTCTTTTTTGATTTATTTATTTTGTGTGTTTTGTTTTTATTGTGTGTGTTTGCTTTTTTGTGTGTGGTTTTTCTTTGTTTTTTATCGTCACAAAACATGAAACATTGTTGCTGTTTTGTTGTTGTTTTGTTTCGTATTTGGTTTTTATTTTTTACCTTTTTGCTTGTATCTTTAAAGTGCATTTCATATCTTTTGGGGAATGCACATTGTAACCGAATCGTAGCACCATATCTTCTTTGGGGCACCCAAATTTCGAATAATCTTCGTTTGTTTTTGGTTATTTTATTTCTTTAATTGCTGACCTCAATTGCGTGGAGTTTTGCTGCTCAGCCTTGGCTTCTTCTTCTGCTTCTACGGGCAGAATCACTCTTACTGAACCAACCAGCAGCAGACAATCCAAACCAGAGAATGGGAATAGTCATTAAAAGTTTCATTTTTTTTGTTGTTGTTGTTTTTGTCTATACAAATTGCAATCTTTCCGAGTGGAGAAATACGAGTACTTGTAGCTTGTATCTTTTGTGGCATCCACAGAGCCAGAAAGCATTTAACTTTAATTATCGCTCATAAAGCCCAAGAAAACAACAAGCAACAAAAGCAACAACAACAAAAAGTATCTAAAATTGTTGTTATTGTTATTGCTGCTGTTGTTGTTGTAGTTGTTGGTGGCGCTGTCATCGTTTGCTATTGATTTTTGTCGACTTTTGTCTTACAGGTTTTCCACGTTTTTCTCCACATATTTTCCATGCCACCGAAGTGCGGCAGCGGCAGCGGCAGCGACCCACTGCTCCAATGGCGCGAGGCTTTTTGCATTTTGTTGCTGCCTGCTGCTGCCTGCTGCCTGCCACTGATTGTGGGTTGTTGTTTTGTTGTTGTTGTTGTTGCGCTTTTTGCCAAGTCATGCACAGACATAAGCACAAGATACACAGATACACAGATACATTGGTCGCGTGAGTGAGGGTGAGAGGGAGAGATACAATCACATTGAGATACTCTCGTACTCGTACAATTCGTCGTGTGTGTATTGTGTAATCGCCCACGTTGATTTATCTCGTTTAAGCGACTCCAAAGCGATGCTGGATGACGTTGCAAGTGCAATGTAATAGGTTGCATGTGTAGCTGCTGCTGCCTGCTGTTGCTGTAGCTGTTGTTGTATCTTTTGTGGTGGGAAAAGAAGAGCGAGAGAGGGAGGCAGGGCGATCCAATTGTTCTGCTGCCTGCAGCAAGCAAGATTGCTTTTGGCCAAAAATGAATATATGTTGGGCAGCCAATTTTGGTTGCATCTACAGCTGCAACAGCCACAGGGATAAGCAGCCACTTAGTAGACTGCCCCAAACAAAAAAAAAATAAAAAGAAAACCGCCACCACACAGCTCTACCTCTCAACTTCCAGCCCCCCGTCCCCCTGCCCAGCGCACCACACACGCCACAAAATCAGCTCAAATCTGCATTTCACTGTAGGCCAACGCGTTGCCAACTATCTGGCACACCCACCGCCTACCACCAACCACCAACCCCCCTGACAAACGCCAAAAAGTTTCGTGCCACGAGTTGGCCACACTGAAAAATGTTGGCTTTTGTTTTTGTTTTTTTTTTGTCTGTTTTTCTTTTTTTACTATGCCACTTTTTGTTGTTGTTGTTGCATGTTCCCTACACCATCCCCCCTCCACGACACCGAACTGTTGCCAGAGTCTCCGCTGCAGCGTTTGTTGCTGGTGCTGGTGCCTGCCTGCCTCTTTTTGTTGCACCTCCTGCTGTCATGGCCCTTTGCTTGGGCTTTGCTTTTGGTTTTTTCCACTTGTTTCTACTTGTTACGGATACACTGCCCCTGCCCCGGCCCCCTTATTGGCTTTAGCAGCTTCACAATTATTCTAGGGTATCACACATTCGTGGCAGTTCTGCTGCCAGTTCTTTCCTGTATGTATCTTTTTTTGTTTTTGTTTTGTATTTTATGAACAACAAAAACCAGCTGCGGCTTCTTCCATGTGGTGTGTATGTGTGTGTGTGTGTATCTGAGTGGAGATGTTGTGTGAAAAGCAGTTTAAACACGAAATTAGAGCCTCTCCTCCCTCTCTACCCTTTTACCGCTGGCATACCGCCCGCCCAGTTCCCCGTGCTGCTGCTCGCCCCTTTAGGGAGCGCATTAAGTCGTAATAAATGCTGCCTGCATGTTGCATGTTTTGTCCATTGACCTCAAAACGGGGCAAAAGCTGAATTCTCTGCAACCATCCCGCTCTCTCCCTCGCTCAGGCAATGCATTTCCCCCTTTGGATGTATCTTTTTATACCCTTTAGAGAGGGTATTCTCCGTTGGTTGGCAATGCAACGAAGGAAGCAATTTCCTCAGCCTTAAGGGCAGTTTTTTTTTGCAAGAAAGTCCAACAAAAGGAACAATTTTCGCATACTTCAAGCAAGTTCTAATTTAAATTTCGATAATTGTATCTTATGGGTAGAGTATCTGAGGGTTAGTTGCGTTCGTTTCCTGTTTTTTTTTTCCCCGCTGGGATGCTGTGTAGCGTTCCCTGTAGTTCTGTTTCTTTCCTTCTTTTTGTTGTGTTGCTGTTTTGCTGTTGTTTTTTCGTGCACATTTTGCTAAATAGCTTCTATTTACGTTCCATGGAAAATGCAATTCGCAATTGTAGAATGCAGACGTTTTTTCCGCCTCCGCCTGCGCCTCCACCGCCCCCAGCTCCTGCCTCTCAGTTGTTTTCCCTCTGCACTCACTCGCACGCTACTTTGTCTCTGCAAACAATGGATGCAAGAGCGAGAGAGAGAGGAAAGAGTGGGGCAGAGCGGAGAGTAGGCAGTGGGGGAGGTGGAGGATGTTGTGCTGCAGTTGGGGGTAGGGGTAGCAGGGGCTGAAATACGTGCGCGACTTTTTGGGGCCATAAATCACAACAAAAAAAAAACCGAGAGAAAAGCGAGATTCAAGTAGGGATTTTGCGGAGAGCAACATTTGTGCTATTAGTGTGAAATTAGGTGAGGAAAACTGCTGGAAATGTGTGAGAAAAATGCGAGGTGAAGTGACAAATTTAGCAGAAAATCGTAAGGCAAAATGAAGTAGGGGAAAGTAGAGGATTGTTGTGTGGCTGAGATACCTAGAAAAGGAAAGTCAAAAAGGGGTAAGAAATGCTTCCTGCTGCCTCTTGCATACTCCTCGCCATAGACCCCAAGGAATCAATCTAAGAAATCCCATTGAAAGCACCTCTTTAATTACAATTATTCACGAGATTTTACCCCATCAAATATTCCCCATGGAGAGGGCGTTTAGGGTTTTGTGCAACAGATGCATAATTTATGCATCGCTTACACGTCTCATGCAAATTGCATTTTGTCTCTCTCTCCCTCTCTCTGTCTCTGTCTATCCTCTGAATGAGAATGAATGAATGTGCTAAGGACTGGCTGGATGGATGAGTGCATGGATCGGATGAATTGTAGAAAACCCGACAAACCAACAAGTTAATGGCATTCTAATGCTGGCCCCACCAAAATCAAAATCATATTAGCCTGGAAATTTCTGGCCTTGGTTGTATGCAGATTTGTGCATCTATTTTGTGAGGAGTTTGCTAGTCGGACTCGCGTTGT